GCATCCTGAGCCATCTCCAGTCATCCTGATTGATACCTGGCCACTGGACCCAGATGACTCTAGAGGAGAAAGTGAGGCTGGTGACCTTGCACAGCCCTCCCTCACTCAAATCAAAGTCAATTGCAAGTCATGTCATCATCTCCGTGATGTCATGGTCCTCTTGGAGAATGAAGGACACCAGCCCCGGCTGCAGCCCCTGGGCGGCGACTGCTTCTGGAGCTTCCGGCCCACAGACTGAGGGGTAATCGAGTGGCTGATAAGAGGGGGATTGCAGGAATCTCTTTGCTGGTGCTGAGGCAGGATTCTCTTGCTTTGCTTGTGCTTGGATCTGGGTCACAGTTCTGGGCAGCGATCCTGGGGTGAGGAGGAGTGCTGGCATGGTGGAGCTTGTAGTGGCGATGAAGAGGGAATCCTCCTCCCAGTTCCAAGGCAGAAAAGAGTGCTTGTGGTCACTCATAGACCAGAGCAAAGGCCAGGAAAGGAGTAAACATCTCACCCTTGATCATACCACCGTGGGAGAACTGAAAACTTACAGGTCCCTAGAAACATCTCTGAAAACAGCTGCACAAAACCCCCAAAGCTTGGGACAGTACATTCTCCACATTGGAAGCAGACCCCTACCTTAACAAAGAGTTTATAACTCACGTAATTGGCTGGGATCATGAGCAAACTTCACAAAAAAGTCAGACCATAGAATCTTTCTTTGGTGACAAAGAAGATCAAAACATACAGCCAGAAGAATACAACAGAGTCAAAGCTCCTACATCCAAAGCCTCCAAGATAAATATGAACCAGTCCCAGGCCATGGAAGAGCTCAAAAAGAATTTTGAGAAGCAAGTAAGAGAAGTAGAGGAAAAACTGGGAAGAGAAATGAGAGTGATGCAAGAAAATCACAAAAAACTAGTAAACAGCTTGCTAAAGGAGACACCCCGAAAATACTGAAGAAAATAACACCTTAAAAAATAGCCTAGGGGCAGCTAGGTGGCGCAGTGGATAGAGCATTGGCCCTGGAATCAGGAGGACCTGAGATCAAATCCGGCCTGAGACACATAACATTTACTAGTTGTGTGACCCTGGGCAAGTCACTGAACCCCATTGCCTAACAAAAAAAAAGAAAGAAAGAAAGAAAAAAAAATAGCCTAACCCAAATGGCAAAAGAGGTTCAAAAAGTCAATGAGGAGAAGAATGTCTTCAAAAGCAGAATTGGCCAAATGGAAAAGGAAGTCCAAAAACTCACTGAAGAAATACTTCCTTAAAAATTAGAATGGAGCAATTGGAAGCTAGTGACTTTATGAGAAATCAAGACATTGTAAAACAAAACCAAAAGAATGAAAAAATAGAAGACAATGTGAAATATCTCATTAGAAAAACAACTGACCTGGAAAATAGATCCAGGAGAGATAACTTAAAAATTGTTGGACTGTCTGAAATCCATGATCAAAAAAAGATCCTAGAGAATGAAGGACAAACCACACAAGCATTTTCCATAATGAGTCTTTTGGAGTTGTCTTAGGTCCTTGCATTGCTGAGAAGAGCTGAGTCTGTCAAAGTTAGTCATTGCACAATGTTACTGTTACTGTGTACAATTTTCTCCTGGTTCTGCTCACTTCACTCAGCGTAAGTCTTTCCAGGTTTTTCTGAAGTCCACCTGCTCATCATTTCTTATAGCACAATAGTATTCCATTACATTCATATACTACAACTTGTTCAGGGCATTCCCCAATTGATGGGCACCTCTTCCATTTCCAATTCTTGGCCACCACAAAAAGAGCTGCTATAAATATTTTTGTACATGTAGGTCTTTTCCCATTTTTATGATCTCTTTGGGATACCAGCCTAGAAGTGGGCTACCTGCATTTTTAAAACTGACCAGACTGAGCCCATCACTCTTTCTGCTGTTCTCCTATCTGCAGTGAAGATCCCACTTCATCTACAGAAAGGACGCCATGAACTGAACCCATGCGAGGGGAAGGACTTTTCCTTCCCCTGCCTCTGAGAAGTGGGCCTAGGGGTATTTGTTTCTGTTCTGTGTTGTCGCTTTCCTCAGTTTTAGGGGCTGGAGGCAATCCCCACTGACTGGTAGCTCCAACCATGGTGCCAGGATCACAGGCAGGGTGGTACAGCTAAGCCAGCCCTAAGAAGCCTGGGTGCCTGTGATTCAAGCCTGAGGAGGGTTTTGGACTTGGAGCTGGGACTGTGCTCTATGGGAACTGAGCTAAACTATGGCCCTAATCTCCTTCCCCTCCCTGGAGAGGGGAGGGGGATTATGTCTCCCACATGCTGGGGTGGGGGTAGGGGAAGGACTGAGTTTGTATATTTGTGACTAAACCTAAGAGAGTTAAATAAATGTAACAGTGTTACATTTATTTGACCTTGAGCCTGATTGGCAGGGCTCCATAGAACTTTGTGGACCTCAGGTTGAATTCAATTTAACAAATCCAAATGACTTAATTCATTGGTATTGGTTGCCATCGTTATATCCCCTCATTCATAGCTTGACATTTATTGAGACAATACTGTAGCCACAGATACTATACTAAGTGCAGTGAAGAAGACTGAAAAGAAATAGATGATTCTTTATGGAACTTAGATGCTGGGGGTATGGGGAGGTGGAGACTGTCACAACACATACACTTGTGAAAAACCTTAAGAATGATTACACAAAATAAACAAAGGCAAATTAATATTTTGCACGCTACATATAGAAATGGGAGAGAAATTAAGAGTAATTGAGCAACCCAGTTAAATCTCTTACAGAGAGGCAGGATGATGTAGTAGAATGTGCTTTGAACTTAGAATCAGAAGAGACTTGGATTTGAATCCTACTTCTGACATTTACTTCCGACTATGGGAAGTCACTTAATTCCACTGAGACTCAGTTTATTTATCTGTAAAATGAGGACTATAATACTTATGATTCCTGCCTGTCATAGGAGCACTGTTGACACGAGTGACTTCATATTGAATCTATAGCAGGTAAGTACACCCCAAGCATCCTAGTAAGTGAAAAATGTATTCGTGTAACTTGTCTGAGTCACTGTAACCATATGTTGTGTATAATAGGGTGATCTAACATGTATGTTAAAGGATGTTTATCAGTTGCCTGGTAACCAGAAGTGTTTGTTGCAGGTTGCTTCCTAAATATCTGTGTCATTGCTTTGGAGTGATGGCATCAATATATTAGCACATTGCCACAATTAATCTTGGTCATTGATCATATATTGATTATGTCAACTGATGTAAAAGCCTGATGTAAAAACAGGTCATTTTGAGTCCAGTTTGCTACTCCCTGAATGAACTGAACAGGCCTCGAATAATATACTGGGGCAAGGGAATCAGGAAAGCCCTATAGAAAGAAACATGAGAGGAAGCTATCCTGGGGGCTTCCAAGGGGCTCACAGTATCACTTCTCCTGGGACTTAAAGGGGAGAGACCGTTGCCTCACAGACTAGACCAGATGCTTTCCAGGCCACATTTATTGCTACCCATAGACTGTACCTTACTGCCAAGATAAATGGTCTTGTTCCTAACACTCAATATTTCAGATCGTCAATCATCATCTCCATTCTGGGGTAAAATTGCATTTTGGGTGGTGTAATTCCCATGAAAGTATTAGGAAATAAGGTGATTTCCCATGTGTATTATGGAGATATGCATACATACAGATATACACATATATAAATAAGTGATTAAGTGAAATAATTAAACATTAAAATAACTTGTAAATAAATATATTCACTAGAAGAAAAGTGAATAAACTCTATTAAACCAGATTATTGGTAGTCTTGTGTTTCCTTGGATCCAAGTCATTTTTTTTTAAAGGCAGGCCGCGTTTATATATATATCTATCTATATCTATGTCTATATCTATATCTATATCTATATCTATATCTATATCTATATCTATCTATATCTATATCTATCTATCTATATATATATAAATTCTACACTTTACTTTCAAAATTGTCCCATTTGTGCTTCTTCTGAACTCCCTTCTGTTTTCTTCTGTGCATTAAAAAAAAGTTTTCAAGGCTGTCTTCACTTTGGCATCACTCTTACTCACCCTCTTCTCCCCAGTGAACCTTGAAAACAAAGGGGAGAAAAATTCTTTGTAACAAGCATAACCAAGCACAATAAAGCCACACAATGGTTATGTCTAGAAAATGTATGTTTCTGTACCTCGTGTCAATCACCTCTATCAGGAGGTGGATAACACAGGGGAGATATAATTGGTCTTTGCTTTGATCAGAGTTGCTAAGTTTTTCAAAGTTGTTTTTCTTTACAATGTTATACTTGTCTAAATTGTTCTCCTGGTTCTGTTTGCTTCACTTTCTACTATGGAGATTCTCTGAAATCATCTTTATTTCTGATGGGGCAATAAAATTACATTATATTAGTATACCAAAATTTGTTCTGCCATTTTCTAATTGTTTAGATCTGATCTAAGGCATCCTCTTAGATTCTAATTTTCCTTTTCTTTTTTTCCTTACTCCCAATCCTTATTTAAGAATCAGTAAGTAGTTTTGCTTACAGCTGTTCTCTCCCCAGAATTACCTTCCCTCCTAACTGTGCCCTCATCCTCAATTGTTTCCATATTAAGTCTAACGTATTTCTACAACAAGCTGTGTACACTCAGTTCTCCTCTTTTTGATAAGAGTTTCATCTGATTCCCACTCCCCCACCCTTTCCTCCATGTTTATATACTTTTTTTTTTTTTGCAATTTTTAGACAGGTCTTTAACAACTGAGTTTAATAAATTAACAGAATCCGAATTATAAGAGAAGTCATTTTTTAACTATGTTGGTGTTACCAAGTTTCACAATATAAGAATGTAATTAATTTTATATCATCAGTACTAAGAAATATATATACAGCTTTACCAGTTTAGATTTACAACTGCTGTTGTTGTTGTTTGTTGTTGTTGGGGGCTGGTAGGTGGCACAGTAGATACAGCGCCAGGTCTGGAAGATCTGAGTTCCAATCTGGCCTTGGACACTTATTAACTGTGTGGCCCTTGGCATACGCCTCAGCTTCCTCATCTATAAAATGAGAAGGAGATGGCAAATCACTCCAGTACTTTTGCCAAGAAAACCCCAAATGGGGTCATGAAGAGTTGGACGTGACTGAAAAATGACTGAACGACAAACATAGGAGTCACAACTAAAATAGAGTGGAGTGCTGAAAATCACAAGTAGCCTGCATTTACATAGTGCTTTATGGGCAAGACCAGATGCTTCCTACGACATGTTTGTATACTCTTCTCACACAGCCCAGTTATGAGAAATAGCAAGTTCCCCTTCTCCTTCTTCCTCCTTTCTTTGTTAGCATATTTCTCTTTTTACCTTCCCTTCTCTTTCTCCTTTTTAGGCTCTCAGAACAGAACCAATCCACCCCCCAAAACCTGTTTTTCATTTAACTCTCTCAGTACCCTTTGAAGTAATTAAGTTTTCGATGCAACACTCCTTTCTTGGCCAGTTAAAACATTAGCCTTACATCACAATGCCTGGCATAGTAGGTGCTTAATAAATGTTTGTTGATTGATTGATTGATAAACCTCCTTCCAATTTCTCAAATACATTTATCATCATTTTGCCCATAGGTGGAGCCATTGAGAAAACTCAATTCAATTCTTATTTTCTCAGAGATGTTTAAAATTAGATTTTAAATCAGTGAAATCCTTTCATAGCTGGATAATCAATCAGATTTGTTCTTACAGGTAAAAAAAAAAATCAACCCTAAAATGCAGTTTATTAATGTTTAGTATGGAAAGATTGCTTGTTGGATTTTTAGGTTACATTGAAATTTGAAAATTTTCAATGTAATATTTTAGCAGGAACTGATATCTTCATTATCAATATAGCTATCAGTAACTAAGAAACATTATAGAGAGCTAATTTAGGAATGCATGTTTAAAACTTGAAAATCAAATATAAAACATTTTATCTAAATAAAAAATCTTAAGTTCTAGCATATTACAACATTCTGGTTTCCCCTTTAAAAAATGTCAGCTTCTATCTACCTCTGGAGAAAGAACTGATGGAATCTGAATGCAGATCGAAGCATACTTTTTAAACTTTCTTTATTTTTCTTGTTGTTTTTGATCTGTGTTCTCTTTTGCAACATGGTTAATATGGAAATATGTTTTGCATAACTCTGCATGTATAATCTATACCAAAGTGCTTGCCTTCTCAAGGAATGGGGAGGGGATAGAGGGAAGGGACTTGGAACTCAAAAATTATAAAAATGAATATTAAAAATTGTTTTATGTATAATTGAGAAAAAAAAATTCTTTTTTTTTTTTTTTTTTTTAAAGTCAGCTTGTCTTCCCGGGCTCAGGAAAGTCTACAACTTATAATTTTGTTAGTTGTTCCATTTATAGTCCTGATGATGGGAGAAGCAGGAGCTACCAAAACTTTGAACCAAAACATTGGACGACATGTAACGGTTAGACAACCAAGATTCCTGAGGCAGTTCTTGTCCCAACTCTTTCATTCCCTCCTTCTATTTCTAATTTACTTCTCCCTCCCACTTTTCTCTGATTCTCTTTTTCTTCTATTTTTCCCCTCCCTTTTCCCCTTCTGTGATTCTTTAGGTCTTCTGTAGTCACTATACCTAGATCCACTTTTTTTTTTTGTTATTAAAAAATTCTGAACTTAACAAACATCAACAAAACGAGCATTTCATATACAAAGTAAATAGGAAAAGAAGATTGTATATGAAATTACAAACTTCTATCTACAACTTGCTTTTGCTTTCAAGGATATTACAAACTCAACATGTCACTTTCATAGCTGTTGTGCCTGAGTTTCCTTCTGGCCTTCCTTCTATTCTCTTCTATACATTAAAAAAATGATTTAGTGACCTTTTCTTTTTTTTCTTTGGTGACCCTATTGCAAGCTTCTCTATTCTCCTCAATTCTCTATATCACTCACCCCGCTAGAAAAAAACAAACAGATCTCCACATTGGCCAAGTCCAAAAATATTTGACTTATTATGTACATGGAGTCTACCACTTCTGTTAGGTGGTAGATGCTTTATCACCATTCTGATGTCCTCCTAAAATAACAATAAGTCAAGCCCTGATGTTTAGCACCAATTTCAGAGGTGTAGATTTTCACAGGGAAAAATTTTTAACAATCAGCACTAGAGAGCCCAGCACACCTCTCCTGTTACTGTGTAATTCATTTTCCTAGTTTTGCTTACTTCATGCTCCATCAATTCATACAAATCTTCTCAGGTTTCTGTGAATTTGTCATTTCATCATTTATCATAGAACAATTGTATTCCATTATATTCTATACCACCATTTGTTTAGTCATGGCCACCCCCTTAGTTTTTAGTTCTTTGCTATAAAAAAGAGCTGGTATAAATATTGTTGTATATGTGGATCCTTTTCCTCTTTCTTTGATCTCTTTAGAATATGGGCCTAGTAGTGCTACTAATGGATCAAAGAGTATACAGTTTAATGACTTTTTGAGTAGTTCCAAATTGCTTTCCAGAATGAATAGAGCAAGAGTTTGTTCAGCAGTGCATTAGTGTACCTATCCTCGCATAGCCCCTCTAACAAGTGTCATTTTTACTTTCTGCTTTCTTTAACAATCTGACTGACATGATATGAAACCTCGAAGTAATTTTAATTTGCATTTTTATTTTTAGTTATTTGGGTAATTTTTCATAGGGCTATTGATAGCTTAGATTTCCTTCTTTTCTAACTGCCTATTTTGAGCCTTTGACCATTCAATTATTGGGGAATGGCTCTTGTTCTCATATATTTGAATCAGTTTCTTATATATCTAGGATATCAGACCTTTTTCAGAAAAACTTGTCTTAAGGATTCCCTCCCCCCAATTATTTGTTTCCCCTTTTTTCTTTTTAAAATAAGTTTTTATTGATATTTTCTGTTTCTTACATCACCATAATATCCCATGTATTCCTCCTCCTCCACCTCCCTAAGAGCCATTTCATATAACAGTATTTTTTAGAGAAGAAAAAAAAGTCAAAACAATCTGTTTCCTTTCTAATCTTAACTATTTTGATTTGTTTATGCCAAAACTTTTTAATTTTGTTTAATAAAATTTTCCATTTTTACTTAGATGATCCTTTTGTACCTTTTGTTTGGCTATCAATTCTTACCAATCCATAGTTGTGTAAGGATGGGGATCCATTGATTACCCCTACCCTCACTTAAATGCAATTACCTTGGTTAGGAATATTTCTTGATTAATTAGTCAGAACTAAGTGTGAAAATTACTTGTAAACCTCCTTGAATCAATCAAAGGCATTTCAAATTAGGTATTACTGTTTCTGTTGGGTGAGGGAATTGGTCACATCCTAAGGAATTTGTATAAACAAAAAGCAATCCCATAATTGAGGAGAAAGTTCAAGGATTTGACAATGGAGAAGAAGGAGTAGGGACATCAAGAGTTGAAGTGGAAAGAATTGGCAGCACAGGGACAATTGACAAAAGGAGAAAAAGAAAGTAGGATTGAGCTGTGACAGAAAAGGGAGAGAATGAGGAGAGCCATGCCAATATAATAAAAACAACAATATTACTTAAACTAATTTTCTTATTTAGTATTATACCAGCCAAACTACCAAAGGATGCCTTCATGCTTCTAGAAAAAAATAATAACAAAATTCATCTGGAGGAAGAAAAGATCAAGAATTCCAAGAGAAATAATGAAAAAAATGGGAAGGAAGGTAGTCTAAAAGCACCAGATCTCAAACTACATTACAAAGCAATAATCATTGAAACTGGTACTTGTTAAAAAATAGAGAGTTTGACCAGTGGAACAGGTTAACATACAGAAGAAACAACATACAGAAGAAAATTAATATAGAAGCATAATATTCCATAATCCCAAAGACCCCAACTAGTAGGGTAAAGACTCATTGTTCAAAAAAAACTAAGAAAACTGGAAAGTAGTATGGCAGAAATTTGGCATTAGGTCAACATCTCACACCATATACAAGGTAAACTTCAAATGGACATATGACCCAAATATCAAAAGTCACATCCCAAGCAGATTAGAGGAGCAAGGATGGACATATCTAATTTTCTTTTAATCTCTCAGGCTAGGTTTGAGAAGAAGCATGATCCAAAAATCTATCCTTGTTCTCATCCCACACTTTGTTCTCATCATTAAATTTTCTAGATATGACATGGGACAGAAGACATAAATTGGAAGGTTTTTTAAAAAAAAATATAGTGACACCTCATTAACCCAGCGTCATTGGAGAAAAAGATGTTCCACTTAAACATAAACCTGTGACATTCACAGAAAAGTGAAATTCATTCATATTTTTTATTAAAAATTGGAGACACTTGTCATAGATTTACAAAATTTTTACCTGGAAGGTCCCTCAGAGATTATCTAGTCCACTTCCCTCATTTATAGATGAAGACATTTGGTCTCAGTAAAGGTATTAATTTCCCAAAGTTTACATAGTGTTAGTAACAGAGTTGGGACTAGAACCCAAGTGCCTTGATTTTCAGTCCCAAAAAACAAACCAACCCCAAACTAGTGATTTCAGCTTTCTGGTTGTTTGGAGTAAGGAAATATAAGAATTGGTTACATTTTAATTTGGAAATTTTTGGTTAAAATATTTTTACTTTAAAGAAGAGACTTAAAGGATTTGAAGGATTTCAACAGATAAAAAAAGAAGAGGTTATTCCAGGTCATAGGATCGTAGAATTACAACTGGAAGAGACCATAAGAGGTCATGCAGTATTAGCCCCTCTTCTACATTTGAGAAAATTGAGGCACAGAAAAGGGAAATGATTTGGCCAAGAACATCCTGACAGGATATGGGCCCTGGGAAAACCCCTCTCCTCACAACTTTCCTTAAACTTTCCCGCATGGCCAAGTCTCTGGCATTCACCCGAGCCCAGGCCCAAACCTCTAATTCTCTGTTACTTCTAACCTAGGTCAGCCCTTTATTTTCTGTTACTCCCCTATCTCCCTGGCCACTTACCACCCTTAATTCCATCTTGACCCCTTCTCTGTTCCCACTGTCTTCAGTATAGATCTATCTTGCCTCCATTAAAGTGCTCAGATTCTTAAAATCTGGCCAATAGCACAGACTCACTAGGAATCTTGCTCACCTCAACCAGTGTTTTAATAAACTTTGTCTCTGACTAAAAGAAGGCTTGAGTTAAATTCATCTGAGGCAGTACCTGCGTCTTCGTGTGGGAAAGGTTTAGAGGTTAGGCTTCCACAGCAGAACACGGGACTTCCAAGATCTTGTGAATAGTCTCTCAACCTACCAGAAAGTGCCCCAAACATTCTGCAAAATAACTAGTTTCTTAAGCAAGTGCAGTGGAGAAAAACCTTTTGCCTCATCCTTGACCCCAACAGGTTGCAACTGGTTTAGCTTCCAGGGCACTTGCTTAATAAGCTTATTGAATATTAACTGACTCACCCCAAGGGCGGAGATAGCCGCCATTTTTGAACATGGTACATATGATTCGGGAACGATGAACATGACAAGGAGGAACATGGGATGGGCGGTTCAGGAAGAGTGTAATCCAAATGAGCTGGTCCCATCCCAGCTCAAATGGGAGGAGTATGGATTTTACTAACCATTTAAAAGTTGACTTTACGTGTGTACTGGTGCGCATGTGCCACTAGGCTGTGGTGTGCCTGCTTCTCTCTGGAAGTATAATAAAGGCTTTCCCACACACTCCTGTAGTGGATTTTTTTGTTTCAGATTTTTCTAACATTCTGCCTTTGAATTTCGAGGTTCCCACCACCACTAGACCTCAACAATACATGTGACAGCGGTGGAAACTATGTATATTGGAGAGAGTGAAGAGTCTAGACTGACAAAAGTACAGGACAGGTGTTAGCAAGTAATAGGTGACTAATAAAGCCTTTAAAATGCATTTTCTCTATTTCTTTGATCTCTTCCGTGTCAGTCTTTAAAAAACAACTACATTGCTTGGCTTTGCTTAATTCTTGAAAGTATTAAATAGAAAATAAAATTTTTTAAAAGTCATCTCTCTTTTCACACACTTTCTGGCTCATAAAATATGAACTCAAGGGTGTAATATTGCTGAGTTAGTTCTGCAAAAATACTGGCTATTTAGATAATTCATATTTAACCACCTGTCCTATTGACTTAATCAAAAATCTGTCATAGGACTGTTCACTAATACAAATAATTGAAATAATACCATTTTCTTCCATTGCATTTACTGTATATGATTAAAATGAAATCTGTACTTTCATTGACTTGCTTTCAAATTTTTTTTGCTACTTTTTATAAATTTAATATTATTTTTTCTAACAGGCATTTATTTTCTCTCTCCCACTCACCTCACCAGCACTGAATAAAAAAAAAAAAAAAGAAAACCCTCCTAACAAATCTGCATAGCTAAGCAAAACAAATTTCCACAACAGTCAAATCCAAAACATATTCATCATTCTTTATTTAAAGTCCATCATCATGCCTCTGGCAAGAGAGGGTTTGTAATATACTTTACCTTCCTTCCTCTGGTCCTTTGTCAAGTCATTGCATTGATCAGAGTTCTCAAATGTTACAAAGCTTTTTTCTCTGTAATGTTGTCATTGTATAAATTGTTCTCCTGGTTCTGCTCACTTCACTCTGCATCATATAGAGGTCTTCCTAGTTTCCTCTGAAAGTATCTATTCCATCGTTTTCCTATGGCACAATAGTATTCCACTTACTCATATACTATGTTTGCCATTCCCCAATAGGTGGATACCTCCCCCACTCTTAATTTCCAGTTTTGGGGTAAGATGAAAAAAGCTCATAAATGTTTTGCATTATATGGGTCCTTGTCCTCTTTATCATTTTGGGGTATATGTTCAGTAATAGTATTTTTGGGTCAAATGGCATGCACACGTTAGTGACTTTAGAACATGGTTTCCAAATTGCTTTCCAAAATAGCTGGACCAATTTATAGCCCTACCAACAATGCATTAAATATGCCTTTTTCCCTCCTAGTCTCTCCAGCATTTGTCATTTTCCCATTTTGTCATCTTTGTCAATTTCATAGGTATGAAGTGGGAACCTCAGAGATTCTTTAACTTGAATTTCTCTAATTAGTAGTGATTTGGAGCATTTTTTCATGTATTATGATTTTTTTGGTATGGGAGTATTTATTAAATAGCAAATGAGACGTAAATAACTGAACACATTCTTCTAGTACCCCTCCATTTCTACAGGTCCTTAGATAAAGCAAATTCAAATTTGCCTGATTGGAAAGGTACTCTAGTTTTGAGTGAATAAAATAGCTCAAGTCAATATAACCCCTTTTTATACTCTGTCATTGTATGTTAATACCGTTTCATGCTAATTTTAGCTTTATCCTTCATAATCACTCAAAAATAATTTGGCTTACCTATCTACATAGGAAAAAGCAAGGGAGTGAAAAATGCCTATTGTGCTGACTATGACATTCAGTGGGGTGGACAACTCACAGAGCTCATCACCAGTACAAATATTTTGGACAGGCATTGCAAATGAATAATGAGGTGGACCCAAAGCTGAACAAGAGGAGGGGAGCAGAACTGATTGTCTTTAGGAAACTTCACTGTTCTTTTAATGACTTAAAATTTCTTCTTGAAACAAAGGCTTATCTTTTTCGCACTAATATTCTTTCAGTGATTCTACATAGTTGCAAGTCATGGAATGCCAGTTTCTAAAGAAATGAAGTTGAAGGGTGGCAGATAGTAGTAATGAGTAGGCAACATTATACATTCCTATTGAGGAACTTATAGGAAAAAGGATGTAAAGGATTACATCAGAAAAACGTATGACCATAAAAGAAGTTCTTGATGAGAATTAGCAATGTCTAATGGAAAGCCCATGTACTTAACTGGTATTCATGTCATACCTAGAAATCTAAAAGGAAAGTTCAGCGGACAAAAGCTGTAGAGTATGGAAGGACATGGATAGGTTGAGACCTGCACCCTTGCAGGGAATACCCACATTGATAAGATCACAGACAAATGAAAATATTCTTCAAAAATTTTAAAAATTTCTGAGTAAACTAAAAAGACTGTAGGATTTATGTGAAACATATAGATTATGGACTATCCTCTTAGTTCTTCCAGTTTAAGTACTCTTACAAAATATCTTGATTATAATAAAGCTCCTACCAAATAAGAAGTGTGAAGACTACAAATTTACTCTAATTCCATAACTGCTGGGATTTTTCCTTTAAAATTACTTATTCATATCTTATTATTTCAAAAGATATAATGGAATTTGGGTTATCTTTGGAATTTTTATCTTCGCTGACTACTGGAAAACATATTGGGAAACATTTTGCTCCCCTCCCCTTCCCCCCCCCCAAATAAACTTTGTTTCCTACCATTCTGTAAAGATTAGTCCAGTTATCACAAATTAAGCCAGATGTAAAGGTGTCCTTGGACTGTGATCAAAATGTCCATTCTGGATGTGTTTGAGGAGCTGAGTTAATGAGTGTTATAAGAAAACTTGAGGTTTGTTTTGAGGCAAAAGAATGTTTCTAGAGATTGTGCAAGAAATAAGGAGAAGTTCATCTCAGAAAAGTACTGACGTTTTAAAGTGCAACTTTAAGCACTGTTGCCTAACATACATAGCATAGCTGTGGAATGCTGGGGGACAACAGCAGCTGATGGACCAGCTCAGTATGTATCAATAGAAATGTGACTGTCTTTTTTAGCAGCCCAAGAGGAGAAGTGATAGAGTTCCAATACCTAACCTGGCAATAAACTGCAAAATAAATTGCACCTTTTTCGTAGACAAACAGGATTATAGTAAATGAGGTTATCACTCAGATCAGGCCTGGACAATATAACTCCAGAGTGCTGCTGGACAATGACTGAAACCTAGAGAAGCTGGCAGTGCTCCTGCTTCAGCTGGTTGTACCCTCCGTCCCAAATCACCCAGTATTTACCTGCTTTCTATTACTTTGAATTTATTCACTTCATATTTATTCTGTGTATGCTTATACATGGACTTGTCTTCTCCATTAAAATGTAAGCTCCTTTTGAGTAGAGATTGTTTCATGCTTGGTATTTGTATCCCCGGAGCCTTGCAAGGGTACCTGGAATATAGTAGGTACTTGACAAATATTTGTCAATCAACTACAATTGACTGAAAGAACTATATGCAAAAGCTATTGTTGGGACTCCAACTCCATTGGAACAATGGAATCCCTCCATGACTAATTAAGGGTCAGGGTGGCAGAGGCATTAGAGACCAACAGTAGGGATTTCTCACCAGCTCCATAGTGGATTTTGGGGGGCATCCTTCCAGAAGAAAAGGAAGAGAATATTATTTTTTTTTTCCTGTATGGCTACATCACTATAATTTCTGACAGTAAGGTTTATTCAACAAACATTTATAAAGTGCCTACTCAACTTCTAGAGTTGATACAAATACATATTATTGCCAGTTTAGAAGTACCAGCCTCTGAGGATACGAGAAAATAAGACACGATTCCTTGCTTCATGGAGTGTGTACATTAATAATTATGGTATGATACAGAACATGCCTTAATAGAAGTACAAAGTAGTTCAGAGAAGAGAGAGATTACTTTGAGCTCAGGGAATTAGGGAAGGTTTCAAGGAGCAGACAGCATTTGAGACGCCCATTAAGGAAGGAGGAATGATTGGGCAGATTGAACTGGAAGTGGACATGATGGCAGGGAGGAGCAAGGGGTGACAATAAACAAAGGCAGAGAGACCTTCAAGTAGTCCAGTCTGTAGAGTGTAGGGTATATAAAGGGCCATAGTGGAAGATACAGGTAGAAAGCTAGGTTGGAATAAAATACTGTAGGAACAGGAGTGTCAGGCTAAAGAACTTGCCCTTCATTCAGCAGGTAATAGGGAGTAATTTTTTGTTTTTGAGCAAAGGGGTGACATGATTAGATTAATTTAGCAGCAGTGTAGATCACAAGAGATTGGAGGCAGAGGAGGCCAGTTAGCTAAAAGACAGTGGGTAGGTCATTCAACCTGAGCTTCAGTTCCTTCATCTATAAAATGGGGCTACTAATAATTTCACAACCAACCTCTTGGTGTAGTAGTTTTGGGGACAGCACTTTGCAAAACTGAAAGTGCTATATAAATTTGAATTGCTGTTGCTGGATATCTACCTGAATGTCATTTTATCATTCCTTCCATCCCCTGAAACATAAACATATGCATAGAACCAAACTCATCATATTTTGAATTAAAGCCGTTTCCCATCTAGACTTTTCCATTTTTTTTGTTTTGTCAGGGAGTGGTTTCTCCAAATCAGTCTTTTTCATTTTCACTCAGCCAGGCTCAAAATCTTTTTTGGTATCTCTCTTCCTTTTTCATTGAGCAGCTGGGGGAGTGAGTGTTTGGTTGAGTCAGTCACCATGCATTTATTAAGCACCTCTTATATACTAGTCTCTATGCTAAGCACCACAGACACAAAAAAAGAGAAAAAAAAATCCCTGTCCTCAAGAAGTTCACACTCTAACGGGGAATACAACATTCAAAGAACTATGTACAAACAAGATACAGACAGGATAGATAAATTGGAGATAATAAGGGCAGAGATAAGGGCAGATGATGTGCTAAAGTCCTCCACTGTAGTCCTCCTTTGTAATTGTCTCCTTGGCAGCATGGAGCTAACATAGGCTCTTTTTTAAAATTTTTATTTATTTTTATTTTTATTTTTACAGACTGACTGCTTGATTGAGGAGGGAGGGAAGGTTGGGGATAAGGAGAGAACTTGAATGGTGCCACCAGGGAGTGAGCAGGGGGAGCCCGAGGCTGGGAGACAAAATCCAGTCTGGGATTCAGCCCCAGGGCCAAGGCGTTGGAGTAAAGGCTGGGACTTGCCTGAACTCTCCTCCAAAAACCTTTAAAAATGACTCTACACAAATTCTAGAGCAGTCAAACCCATAAAAAGACAGAGTGAAACAAATTTCCAGTCCAAGACAACTTGGAAAGTCAGCAGGAAAGGTCTCTTGCACTAGGGTGAGAGAGGAGTGCAGTCCAGTGCAGGCCACACCAGCACAGACTGGGCCCTAGCAAGCAGCCTGGGGGCAACTGATTCACTGGCAGTAGTGTCAATTTCTGGAACCTCTCAGCCCACAGACACCAGGGACAACTTAGAAGGTCAGCAGGAAGGGTCTGTGGTGCCTGGGCGGGAGTGGAGCCCAGTCAAGGGCAGGCTTCACTAGCACAGCCCAGCCCCAGAAGGCCAGAAGCAGTCCTTGAGAGTGACTGAATCAGCAGGAGTAGCAGAGGCTTCAGGGTCAGCCCATACCCTTTGATCTAGCAATACCACTACTAGGTCTGTATCCTGAAAGAGATTAAAAAAACAAAAAGGAAAAAAAAAATATTCATAGCAGCTCTTTTCTGGGGGTGAAGAATTAGAAGTCGAGGGGATCAATTGGGGGATGGCTGAACAAGTTATGGTATGTGATGCAATACTACCCTATTATAAGAAATGATGAGCAGGATGCTCTCAGAAAAACCTAGAAAGGCTTGCATGGGCTGATGCAAAAGTGAAATGTATTGGCTAACATATGTTTTTGAAAACTATGCCAACAAATTCTGACAGATTTTGTTAAGGTGGAAAGGTTACGAAGTGCACATCACAAGACCCACGATGGGAGGCCTGGCCAAAATTAATTTTGTTGTCCCCAGGAACTCATTAAACTTTCTGTACAGGCCTGGAGGGGTTTTGATTTTTGTATTGAAAGAATACCCATGGCCTTTTAAAGTCTCGTATTGGTGTCAGCTTTTTTTATTTCATAGCTTTGTATCTCCCTCCTCTGTACAGGTACTAATGAACAATGAAATGACAAAAAGCCAGCCTCCCCTAAGAAGCACCAAGAGAAATAAAAGGGACTGTATAATTCATATATTAAATAATAAGCCAGCATAGGAAAAAAGCCTGTGGTTACAAAGGGGTGGAAGGTAAAGCTTTTAAGAATGCATAAAGGATGAGTTGCTGCAGGTCGGCAGAGAACTCCCAGTGTTGAAACTCCCTCCAACGCTGCGGATTAGCAACTCCTCTGTTAATATATAGCCTCAGCCAGCGACCTCGAGTTGTACTGCAAAGCGCTTTGAAAACCTTAAAGCGCCACATGAATGAGATTACTGAGAAGCTGCATTTGAACCCATCTTGCTGACACTAAGGCTGCTTCCCTTACATCAAGAGGTAAAAAGCTGCCTTAATAAACCCATTTGCTGGCTACTTATTCTCACTTTATGACTAAACAAGACTCTTTCGATCAGGAAACTGGACACTTCTCTGAATTTGAGCTTGCTCTCCATCTTTAGTTTTTTAATCGTTCTTACTGAGGGTCATCTTTTTTTTTTTAAAGATCCTTAACAAGACTGAGAAGTTCGCTGCCCTCCAGCCCAATTTACGGGAGAGGTGGCGGAAATAAAAATATATAAAGGGCGGAAAGAGTAATTTAGCGAGTGGTGCCCCATTGCCTTCCAACCGCCGCTCCGCAGGCGCGTGCCCCGCTCTGGGGTGCGCGCAGAGACCCGGATGCGCCGCGGCTTCCGGTATGGGGGGGAAGCGGTGAGCGGGCCCGCTGTGGCTCCGATTAGGCGTTGGGGGAGGGGCGCGCGCGGCTTCCGGCGCGGGCTGTTGGAGGGGGAAGGGCGCGCGCTCGTACCCGAGGCCCGGCTGCGCGCACAAAGATCCGTGCGGCTTCTGGCGCGGGCCCGCTCGGGGCTTCCCTCGGCGCGCAGACGCCGCCGAGGGCCTTCTCCCCTCCCCGCAAAGCCCTCCAAGGGTCGGCGAAGCGGGGCATGGAGCCAGAAACCACCCTCCGGGGGCAGTAGAGCCCTGTTCCGCCGGGGGCGCGGGCCGTCGTCAGCACGGCCAGAAGCTCCCCTCAGCTCTGGAGCCGGAGGTGAGGCGGGGGCCGGCGGTTCGAGTAGGCCCTGCGCCTCGCCTGGCCTGGGGGTCGAGGGGAGCCCTCTCCGCGGCCCCTCTTTTCTGGGGCTCTGCGGCGTCCCATCGGGGGCATGAGGGAGGGGGCGAAGGGGCGGGCCTACAGCCACTGGCGGGAAGGGAAAAGAAGAACGGACGGCGTTGAGGAGGGGTCTCCGCATCCGGGGCAAAGGTAACCGGAAGTAGGGCCCGGCGGGTGGGCGGGCTCTCCCGCCTGGCGGGGGTACAGCGCGAACAGGTGCCGGTTCTCCTGCAAGTCCAAACAAGAGCTCCGGGCCGCGGGGCCGGCCCAACCCGCTGGTTGACTCAGCTTTTCCTCTTTTGGTTGGTCATGTTCAGACACGTCAGGAGGCGGCTGTCCTGGGGAGCTAAGTCCCGACTTGTCTCCTCGCTGCGGGTATTTAAACCCTGGCCGAGGAACGTAGTCACCTGCCGGCTTTTGTGTTTTTTAGGAGCTGCGCCCCTCTGTCAGGTATAAGAGAGCTCTTCCCCTCCATATTCAGGTAAGGGGCTTTTACTTCCAGGAAGCCGT